GGAAAAAAAAATTTGTTCCAACTTTTTTTTTTTTTTTTTTTTAAGTTTTTTGTATATCGAAAATATTTCAGATTTTATTTTTAATTCTGACTATTAGTTCTAATATACTTTACAAATAATTTCAACTTTGCAATTCAGTTTATATAATTCTTATAAATATTCGACAATGTTACAATATTTATAATAATCTATTTGAAAACATTCAGTATTCCTCGAACATTTCGTTACGGTACGGGAAGTTCCAGCAATTTGCCTTAAGGCACGATGCCATAACTGCCTCAAGACAGAATTCCACTTACAGCTAGTTGATATTATAATTATAACACAAATCCAGTTTAAGTTTCTATCACATACAAAAAACTGAATATATGTGAAAAAGGCTTTTTTTTTTCAAGAATTTCAAAATTCTCAAATCTTTTTTTTCAAAGTTTCAAAAAATTTTAAATGTTTTTCAAAAACTTTAACTTTCTACTTGAACTTGAAGTTCTAGAATTTTATCCTTAAGACACGATGCTATGCACCATTAATTTTCAAACTAGATGCAAGTGGCATGGTCTCTTTACCTGTTTATTATATAAAATCAATTTGATATGATAAATTCCTTGTCAACAAAGTGTTCGACATTTCATTACCTATACATTTCTTCAACCAGAAGGAGTTGAGAAACTCTGTTCCAGATAAAAGTTTGCCGCAAATTCTCTTCGTACCTGAATTTTTCCTACAAACTTTTCGATTGTTTGCTATTTTTCCCAGAGACTGTTCCAGGTATACTAATCGCCTTCAGGTTCAGTAAACAATACCTGACGTCCGTCTGTCGCCTTCTTATAGCACACAAATTTTATAATACGCATTTATATATTATTATTATTATTATTATATAGAATTCCATACCACCTGTAATGGCTAATGGTAATATAATCTCTCTATCGGAAAGTTGTTTAAATATCAATTGTTCCAAAGATTTAAATAAGTCAGAAACCATGGATGATGATGATGCCATCCATCGGCTTTGTTGTTTGTAACCGAATAAAAATGTGTACGAGGAGGAATTTATGCTCCAGTTGTTACGTAACGGATCGCTAATTTTTTTATGAGAAATCTTTAATGTTAATTGGTACTTAATTGGATTGTTTTGAATAGATTTTTTAAGTATCCTTGTTGATGGAATGACCGGAAAGGTGATAGATACATATCCTTGGACGAATTGTTTTTTATACAAATCTGAAGTAAATTTTGCTGAAAAGTTAATATTTTTATTAATTTTGTAAGGTTGTGTTTACTATATTAGAAGTAAAATTGCACATTTGGAAAAATATTTAACTCGTACAATTTTAGCTTTTTCTTTGGACGGTCTCTGTCCAGTAAATTAAAAATTAAAACATAATTTTGGAAATTAATTACATAAATAAGCAATAGCTCATAATGGGGTGTCAGTTTTTTTTCAAAATGTACCTACGTTAGTACTCATTGAGACAATCCAATTTAATTAGATGAAAAATTGATACAAATATTGAAAGACGTTCAAGCATATATAATATTTGAGAGTTGTAATATTTAATTAATTTAATACTACAACGTGATTATTAATAAAATTAATCACTTATACAAATGCGAACATTATTCTTAAGATAAATATATAAAATTAATTAATATTAAAAAAAATAACAATCATGATTCACGATTTCACACCTACCTAATTTGGATAAGTTTTGATCTAGATTTAAAGACATTAAGGGTTGTAGTATGACTATTATTTTTATTTTATTCAGGGCATTGAACAATTGTTCCTGGTTTGTTTTCTCTGGAAATATGAATCCTTAAACAACTATTTTTATATCCTTGTCGTCTTATATCAGTCACCAACAAAACCCCATCATTAAGGAGAATCTTTTGATGGTAATTTGATATCCTTATTGATTTGCATCGGACTCTGGTTTCTCTTGATACTATAAGTCTTTGAAACTTTATATTATGTAATTTAAAAAATAACTAGAAAAAGTGCAGCAAAGATTTTTTGTCTAAAAATTTCTTGTCTTGGCTATGGATTTTTGGCTGGGTTGCAGCTCTTCTATTGTCTGTCTGTGATTATTTGAGTCTGGTCTGATTGGTTTTCAAAATAACTTTAGATTCAATCTTGTACAAAATTGTCAAATATTATCATGCTTCTTCAATTCATAATATGCATTTATTAATAAATGAAACGTTTTATGACAACTTTGTTAAGGAAGCGTCCATTGATCACGTGGTCGACTTTTTAAGGATTTTTGGATCCTTCCTCCCCTTTTGTGATATTGAAAATTACCCCCCCCCTTTACCCTCAAACATCACATGTATTTTTAGTTCGAGAAAAATTACATTTTTTTGAAAATTTTTGAATTAAAATAGAAAATTCAGGTAAAAAATAAATTCACGTTCATTAATCACGTGATCGATTTTTTAAGGATTTTTGGATCCTTCCTCCCCCTTTGTTATATTGAAAATTACCCCCCTCCTTTTCCTTCAAACATCACATGTATTTTTAGTTCGAGAAAAATTACAATTTTTTTAAATTTATGTTTTTGAAAATTTTTTAATTAAAAAAAAATCCGGTAAAAAATAAATTCATGTGATATCTTACTATACTCCTCCCTCCCCCTAAAAATCTCACTTGATTAATGGACGTCCCATAATATAAAAGTACTATTTTTAACATGCAAATAAAAAGTATGTAGTATTCTGCTTTCTATTTATTTAGCAACTTTTAAAATACTATCCCAAGTTTTATCCTGCTGAATTTGACGTCGCACTCGTATCAATCCAACTAGTAGATTGATAAAGAGTGTATTTTCGATACAAAAATACAAATAAAACAAGCAATGACCTAAATTTAATCTTGATAAAATCTTAGCCAAGTCACACTTGCCGAATCGGATAAACACATGATGATTCGATAGACACTTGTAGATAAATAAAACGTTGGACCTAAAACATAAAAATCATATACTAATGTTGATGTACAGGTGATATATTTTTTTTTATTAAGTTTGGTATTTCATACAGAATATTTATTAAAGTGGACATTATTCATGTTGATAAGAAATGCGTGTGACCCACAGACCAAATCAATTTCACTTTATCGTTTGATAAGAAATTCAGACGTTTGATAACGAAAAATGCGTTATGTGACCAACAAGAGCAAACAATATTTATAATAAAAAATATATATACTTTTTGCATAAAATGTTTTCATAAGATACTTCTATCGTATCATTTTAAGGAGCGTTCATTGATCACGTTATCGTTCTTTTAAAGGAATTTTGGAACCCTCTTCCCCCCTTGGTTTGACCTCAGAATATTTAAAATTCTCCCTAAATGTTTTGTTATGCAAAATTTTTAGAACGAATTTTTTGAATTCACAAAAAAGTTTTTTAACTTCCCGAAGAAGTTTATTTCATCAAAAAAACCGATTTGCTAATTTTATGTTTTCTCGACGTTTCAAGCTATTCTGAATCGAATGAGACCAACATTTGGGAAAAGTATGTGTGTGTGTGCGTGTATGTGAACAGATTTTTTGTGATTGTTTGTCAACACCCCCCCTAAAATGCCTAAATGCTTCACGTGATTAAAACTTGCCATAAGGTAAGTTACTGTAATCGTCCCAAAATCGAAAATGAAAATTTTTACATCTTTACGTTTCAAAACCTTCTGAACATTTTAACATACATTAGAAAAAGTAAATAGGCGTGTGTGTTCGTCTATGTATGTATGTGCGAATACAATTTTTAGTCGGCGGTTTCGAGAACACAGTTCAACCGATTTGAATAATTCAAACATTTCATGGGGCGTCCATTAATCACGTGAACTAGTTTTTAAGGATTTTTGCTATTATATAAAGTTTATATTAAATTACAAGCACTCACTGTATACTCCTAAACTATTTTTTGGATTTTGATAAATCTTTCTGAAGTTTGTTAAGGAAATTTTCTAGGATGTAATTATAAAGTAACTGATGAGATGTATGTGTAATAAATGGAAAAAATTGCAAAAACGACATGCCATTGTTTGCATTGAAAATAAATGAAATCTATCTTCTGCCAAAAATTTCAATTCACTTATGAACCTAGACAATATTAGAATATGTATAATAAATTTATGATTAGAAAGAAAAATAAATAGTCTACATTATTATTGCCAAAAAGCAGCAGACATTGAAAAAATATAAGTTACAGTATATGTATGGCAGATTAAATGATACACATATGAATATGATATGATAAATTAATTCACTTAAAATATGAAATTAAGTATTAAATTTTCAATATAGTTTTTTTTTTCAATATATAATTTCTTTGCATCTTTTACTAATATTTCTACGAATATTTTTAAAATTCGTAAAAAATTCACTTTAGAACAAGAAAATAGAGATGAATACATACAATTCGGATATCGATTAGGAGAAGTTTAAGATACAATTTTATATATCTTATATAATTAAAAATTAAATTAATTTAATCCAACATTAGGTACCAGTGTTATGTTATGGTTATGGTTATGATATACCGTTTAAAAGTCTTCAATTTCCAATATAGTGTAGGAATTGAGACTCATTTTATTTGAAGCATATGCATTTTGGCGTGAAGAGTAATTTAAAAAACAATTATTATTTTTAGGTAAACGGTAAATAATAGTATATCATATTAAAAAATTGTAGACGTGGGTACAGGACAACGTCTGTCGGGTCATCTAGTTGTTCAAGATTGTATAAATTTTGTTTACATTTTTCAAATGCCATGTTGCTAAAAAAATCGAAATATTAAGAAAAAATTAAAGTTTTTAAATATGAGACTTATCCAAAAAGTTCAAAATTCTAAAAAATCACTTTTTTTTTTTTGAAAAAACTTTGATATTTCACAAGACACGATGCCACGCACTGCTAGTTTATTTATTTCAGTATCACAATTCAGAATATATATAGTATTTTTTACAATTTATCTAACGTTTTTCTTTTCTCTCCTTTACAGAAAGCTTTTCGTCGGAGGGCTATCATGGGAGACTACTCAGGAGAACCTGCAGAGGTTCTTCTCGAGGTACGGCGAAGTGATCGATTGCGTCGTCATGAAGAACAGCGAGTCGGGCAGGTCGCGCGGCTTCGGCTTCGTCACATTTGCCGATCCCTCGAACGTCAACGTCGTCCTGCAGAATGGACCGCACTCCCTGGACGGAAGGTGAGATGGAAATTGAAATCTAAGTTGACACCAGACTTTTATGAACACTAGTCTGGTGTTCACTTGGTTTTGTTCTGGTCAGCTACTCATAAGTGACCTCAGGTTTATTTACCTGGAGACCTAATATAGTTTAATTAACTATAATACACCTAAGTCTGTTTTTACACGGTAGATTGGTTCCAGAAGAAGCCGTGTAAAAAAAAAACGTGTAAAAAAAGACATTGATCTTATACAAAAATGGGTGATTTGTTCCTAATCTCTGAAAACCTATTAAAATTGGTGAAAAACAAGAATTCATGTTTATTTTATTAAATCAAATATATGCTTATTTTCATAAGCATAGTAATTAATGATAGAAAAGATATGCACTCTAATCTTAGAAGTAATATAAATTAAATGTATGGCAAGTTCAGGAACTAAAAAATTATGTTGTGAACGAAAAGAATAGGTTATTCAATTTTTAAGGTAAAAAATAAAGTAAAATAGAATTAGTGCTATTCATCAGTAAAAATTGTTTGTACGCGCTAAAGGGGAATTCACTTAAAACTTTAAGCTAGTGTTCGCAAGCTATCGATACTATCGATGGTTTCAGACTTTTCTTCTTTCATAAAAACTTTTTTGTGATATGAACATACTTTGCAAAAATTAAATTTGACAAAAAAAATTTAAGTACATAAAATCGTGCTAAATGGAATAAAATCGTGTAAAAAAATTGAAAATATTCAATTTTCAAACCGTGTTATATCAAAACCGTGTACAAAAAGACCGTGTAAAAACAGACTTAGGTGTACTTTCATTTTACATTTTGTTTTTTTTTAGTTGTAGTAGATACGCCACTGGAGGTATCTACTAATTTGTAAACAACTCGTCAGCATTATATATATATATATATATATATATATATATATATATATATATATATTACTAACATTAAATCTCCAACCCCAACCCCATCCAATTTCAATACTAACGTAGTATATTCTGTTTCTTGTAACGACTGTGCTTTCCAATATAATGGACAAACCTCACATATGTACATAAAAGAATGAAACAACATAAACTAAGTGTAGTCCACCATAAACAAAAAAAATTCAAAAGTACCCTAGTACAGCACTCTATTGAAAATGCCCACTTGTTTAACTTCACTCCAAAGATCTTATATCATGAAAGTTGCATCTTTAAGAGATTATTTGTGGAAAGTTGTCTTATTCTTATGAACGTTTCTAATAGTGTCATCATTAGATCAGATCACAACCTATTACATGATTCTTATTTAAATATTTTACACTTTTTGACAATTAACTTCTATTTAAGATCAATAATTTAAGTATTCACATCCAAACATATAAAAACACACACACACATCCTTACAGTTCTCAAGTGGTCGCACGTGTGCGTGTGACTTAGAATCAGTTCATTACAAACAGCCGATCTCATAACATCAAGAGAATAATATTGTTTGGTTTTTAAATAATAATTTTAAAAAAGACAGAACTTATAGTAATTTTGATTTACAAAATTCACCTATTCTGCTGAAAAATAATTCATAAATTCAATTTTTGATAAAATCTTTTTTAGTGAAAAAGTGCTAACGTATATTCAAACATACAGGTAATTAATTCAATTTTGTCATTAACCTTTTCTTAAAATTTTCCATAACTTTCAAAAAAAAAATTATCATTTTTATTATCCTGTTATATAATCCACTCATTTATTTTTATCATTTTCATTTTGATCATATTATCATATTTCTGTACATTATTATTTGTTACAATTAATTTATTATTTAAGAAAAATCCATTTTCTTTTCTTAAACATATTGTTTGCTTAAATCTCATCAAGATCATGTTTCTTGACAGATGTCCTGAAGATGGAACGTACCTAGTTCCGAAACGTCGACAGTAAATAAATAAAGAAATAGTTTATTAAAAAAACTTTTTGTTCACAGATATCCAATTGAACTTGCACAAATCCCTAAATTTTCTGTTATATTTTTACAATTCTTTCAGAGTTTTTTCTGTATATCGACACTTCGATGCCTATATTTTCTTACTATCACTATATATATTGATTTTTCTTTTTCTACAGAACTATAGATCCAAAACCATGCAACCCACGCACCCTACAGAAACCAAAACGGGGCGGAGGCTACCCCAAAGTTTTCTTGGGCGGCCTGCCATCCAACGTGACGGAAACCGATCTCAGGATGTTCTTCGGTCGCTACGGAAAAGTTATGGAAGTTGTCATCATGTACGACCAGGAGAAGAAGAAATCAAGAGGTGAGTTGTTAATATTGCTGAAACCCAAAAATGCAGTTTATAAACAGCATTTATATTTAACTTCCCGTTGGATTGTTTGTAGTAAGGGGACGTTCATTAATCATGTAATGGATTTTTTTAGTGATTTTTGGACCCCCCTCCACCCTGGTGATACATCGTGATACTTAGAATTATCCCCCCATTTTCACAACCAAATATCACGTGTATTTTTATTACGTAAAATTTTTCGAAGAATTTTTGGAATAAAGCATTTTTTTTTTTTTGAAAATCTAGGCAAAAAATAAATACGCGAGATATCCTACTCGACCCCTCCCTCCCCCCATATGATCTTTCGTGATTTTGTCTGTCTTTGTGATTTATAGATAGATAGATCGATACTTCATTCAAATTCAACATTTACAATTTAAGTCAATACAATTATACTATAATATAACTATACTAATAGATAAATATATAGAATAAGATATACGTATTGGAAATTGCAGTCTTTTAAACAGTGTAACGAATTCAGAGAATTAATATATAGTATTAATAATTAAGAATTAATATAGTATCCGCGGTAAAGGTACAATATCACCTTGGATTTTTTCACTCAAAATAGTTGTTCCAAAAGTGTTGCCTACAATTTTTATAATCTTGTACTATATATATCAATTTCAGTAAAAATTATATCTAAATTACATTTTTCTTAATAATAATTTGATATACATTATTACTTCAGTCCATATTTTAAGTGAATTTGTTATATCCTGTTCATATGTGTATCATTCAATCTGCTCAATTCAGTATCTTATATTATTTTATTTTTTGCACACACCTCAGCTGCTTTTAGCAGCAATTATGATGTAGACATTTCATTTTTCTTATTCATAGTCATGAATTTATTATGCATATTCTAATATTGTCTAGACTCATGAGTAAATTGCAATGTTTGGCTGATGACAGTTTTCATTTGTTTTCAATGTCAAATAATGTCTCAAATATTTTCAATGTCAAACAATGACATGTCATTTTTTGCAATTCTTGCCATTTATTTTTACAATTTAACTATATTTTTATAATCACATGCATCCTGAAAAGTTGCCTTAACAAACTTCAGAAAGATTTATCAAAATCCGAATAATCGTTTAGAAGTATATTTACTTACATCATTACCGAAGAATTTTATATATAAGATGTGTATATATATTAGATGACCCGGCAGACGTTGACCTGTACTCACATCTACGTTTTTTCTAGAACACTTTATAGAACACCGATTTATTAAGATTTTGATTGATGTAATTTTGTTCATTACATGATTTTTATTAAAATTTTCACTAGCCAGTAACTTGAAAAGTAATTGCTTTTTTGAAAAACATTATTAAACATTTTTCTCTTCTAATTAGTTATTTTGAAAGAGATACAATTGCATCACTGAAAAGGGACGTCATCTACCAGGGAAGTGGCTAAGGAGTATAAATTATTTTCACTTTTAAACTCGAGAGTAAGGTGAACCTAATTCCAAAATTCCATGCAAATTGGAGCACATTAAAAATATTCAGACCCAAAACTCTCTATTGACTCTTGAGTAAATATTTCGTATCCAATGACAAACATGTGAATTTTTGACACAATGAAACTTCTAGATAATTTTTCGAAAAAGTAAATTATTTTTGTATTGTGATTTAGTAAAGTAAGGGAAAACATGACTGCATTCAAAAATTAAAAAATAATAATCTGTCAAATTGAATTATAGACTAAGTTTGATGTGCCATCACTGACAGACGCATGCGCAGACTGCATCACCTATCAGATGTTGATTGTACAATCTTATAGTATTTTAATTTTTGGCACATCTCAGCTGCTTTTCGGCAATAATAATGTAGACATTACATTTTCCTTATTTATAATCATGAATTTATTATATTTTAATATTACCTTAGCCTATAAGTGAATAGAAATGTTTGGCAAAGGACAGTCTTCATTTGTTTTTAATTTCAAACCATGCCTTAAATATTTTCAAGGGCAAACAATGATAAGCGTTTTTTTGTAATTTTTTCCATTAATTTCTACAATCTAACTATTTCTATGAATCTAAAAATTCCAAGAAAATTTCCCGAACAAACTTCAGGAAGATTCATAAACATCCGAATTATAGTTTAGGAGGATTAATCATTCATACATGGTTACAGAAGATTTGTATATATAAAATATATATGCTAATCGGTTACGTCTATATTTACTTCATATGTCCTTTCTCCTCAGGTTTCGGTTTCCTATCCTTCGAGGACGAAGTTTCTGTAGAGCGTGTCACACAGGAGCACTTCATCAATTTAAATGGCAAGCAAGTGGAGATCAAACGTGCCGAGCCCAGGGATGGCAGTGGCGGCGGTAAAATGGGCGGAGCCAACGACGGCTCTCAATGGGGACCCCCGCAAGCACCCATGGGCATGATGGGTGGACCCAATGGTCAAATGGGAGGACCACCGATGAATGCCATGATGGGTGGACCTAACATGATGCAGGGATACCAGGTAAGAAAATTGTCTTAACACTTTTTCAATTCCTAATTAGGGAATGCAATACCGGTATACTGAATTAAGCGGTAAACCGCCAGATTTTTCAGCGGTATTTTTACCGGTATTTATTCCAAAAATACCGGTGTTTTCGGTATTTTTACATAAGCGCTATTTGATACATAATACCCTAAAGTTTAAATTTCTCGGAACAATTTTATCTTTAAATTCCTTAGTCGCATAAACAGCTATATCTTCAAGTGATTCTATAAGATAAACAAATGTCAAATATTATCTCAACTCGTCATTAAACTAAATATTTATTGCTTTCCAAAGGGCTTCATATCGTGTTACAATAAATAGAATTCGACTGATAGATATTGGTGTTTGTTTCATGTTTTGTAAAACTGTAACGGTTTTTTAAGTGATATTTGCGCCAAAATATTTTATATCATACAGATTACCCTTGCGTAATCTTTATTTTTTTATAACTTTATACATAATAATTATAATTACTAAATATTTTTTGCTTCTTATTACAATTATAAAATATTATTTTTTGAAAACGTTTCGAAGTTCAAAATACTGTAGAAGCATCACATTGTTTTAAATAATACTCAGCAATTATAGTAACTTATTATTTATCTCGACAAAGAATCCGATCTTAACCCTCCGTCGGTCGGCGTGGTCTGGCCAGACTTTTTTCGACTTCAATAAAAAAAAATGCTTCTAGTAATCCTATCGACTTGAAATTTCTTGACTTTTCCTAAAATTTCATTAGCTGTCGATCAATGAAAAAATCAGGACGAAAAAATGTACAGAAGGATAATTCTAAGGATATTAACTTTTTTATACTTGGAACGGTCGGAAAGGTCTGTCTAGACCACCCATACATTTTGTATGAAATATACGCTTTTTGATATATGTAAACCAGTATTTTGTCTTTTTTCATGGTATTTTCTATTCAAAGTGCGTTGTATATATTCTTTGTTATGTGTTGTAACATGAATGTTAGTATTTTCATGACGAGAATTCCTTGAAAACCTACCAAACTTATTGGTAATCGCAAACACTGAAAATCGGATGAGTAATGCGCACATTATCAACAATTTTTCTACCCGTACTGCGTTCGAAATTTTTTTTTTGGCAAACATGTAGTGAAATTATATTTTCTCTTTGAGTTTTACAGCTCATTTTGAAGGCGACGCACCTCATTTCGTTTTCATTTGAATTTCACGTTCATTTCAAAGGCGCCGAAAAAGAATAAATATTATTTTTCATTGATATAAAACAAAAAAATTAACAAAAAAACGATTTTTTTATATTTCTTGATTTTTTTATATATAATATAATATGTAATATTTTTAATAGAGACAAGCTCAACACATGCAAAAGACGGTAAGAAAAAGAAAAAATCAAAACTATAAATATTTACTACTAATAATCGTTAATATTTAAGACACCAAAAACTCATTTATCCCATATAAATGCATGTAAAATGAATGGTGGTCCAGCCATAACCTTTCCGACAGTTCGAAGGTGAAAAAATATCCGACCGACGAAGGGTTAAATTAGTGTAGAATTTTTTTTTTTTTTTAAATATTGGAGATTATGCGTTTGTTTTTGGTGAAAAGTACTCAATATACTCGATAGTGGTAATGAATTAATTAAATTGCATATTTTTTGTTAAATTATTATTTAAAAAAATAAACTTATTGTTGTTTAGTTGAATATAATTGTAGTTGTATATACATTTTTTTATATTTGTACTAGTAATTTTCAATTTTGTTTAGGTTTGTGTAAGATAATAAAAATACCGGTAATTTACCGGTATTCCGGTTTTAAAATGAAAAATTACCGAAATACCGGTATTGAAATTTTCCATCGGTATTGCATTCCCTATTCTTAATCATTCCGTGATGAAAATTCTGACACCTCTTATGAATAATAAATGATTCTTACTTGTACCGCTGATAACAACAACGTGATTCAAACACATACATTTTGTCGTTCGATGCATTTTTAACCATCTAATTATTTTTTCAGGGTTGGGGCACCTCACCTCAACAAACAAGCTATGGAGCATATGGAACTCCATCTGGTCCCGGATCATACCAGGCATGGGGAGCACCACCAGGACCCCAAGGTCCACCTCCACAATGGGGCAACAACTATGGGGGACCTCCACAACAGCAAGGATACGGTAGTTATGCTCCAGGAGGTGCATCAGGCGGTGCCAATTGGAATTCGTGGAGTATGCCACAGAATAGTGGATCGACAGGATCAGGTAAGGGAAAATCTTTGATTTGAATTGAATCTGAAGAACAAGTTTAGGAGATTTTTGTTTGGTAATAAAATTCTAAGGTACTTTCGAATGAAAATTTGCTTAAAATTGATGAAGGTATCTTAACACTATTCCTACCGGGACCGGTCAAATGACCGTTTTTGATTTTTTGATTAGTATTTTTCATATCAAACGCAATTGAATCGTCATCAAACTTTATGACTTTTTCTAATATGTGAGTATGATACATTTTTTAATGTTAAATTGTTTTCTCAATTTTTATTTTTGGAAAAAAAATTGTATACTGTCTTACCTAACGCGACCGGTCATTTGACCGGTAGTACGAAAGACGATGTTCGAACGGCATTTTTTGTAGTAATTGTTAAGAATATTATCGAACTTACAAGAAAATGTAAATGCAGAATAATTTAGACTGGTAAAAACTGCCTTCTGCAAATTTATATGCATTTTGTTTTCAATTATGTATGCATATGAGGCAAAGAGTATAAATATTGCACTTCTACGGTATAAAAAGTGGATTTTATCATTTTTGCTCAATGTCTATGTGTAGACAGATTTTTACAAAGGAATCCAAACAACAAATTGATAGGTTTTGTTTTGAATCCAAAGGTTGGTTCAACTACATTGACAGCAATCAAAATTGTTGTAAAAGACGTATTACTACCGACAAACATATATTTTCAATAAAGCTAAGGTGTAAATTTATTCAACACATGTTCAATAATATTCAGGAAAACGTGGTATAAAATTTTAGTAACCGTTCAATATACGATGTAAATATAATTATACTTTACACAGGATTCCAAACAACAAATTAATAGGTTTTGTTTTGAATCCAAAGGTTGGTTCAATTACATTGACAGCAATCAAAATTGTTGTAAAAGACCACGTATTACTATCGACAAACATTTATTTTCAATAAAGATAAGGTGTAAATTTATTCAACACATGTTCAATAATATTCAGGAAAACGTTGTATAAAATTTTAGTAACCGTTCTATATAAGATGTAAATATAATTAAGCCAAGCAAATTGCACAAATGGGGTGTAAAATTTTGATAACCATCCTGTATACGTAGCAAACTGAAAATTTCTTTGAAGATTTATAATCAATCAAACCGTATAAAATTGTTAAGCTTTTTTACCGTCTTACATAGAGCTAAACTTTTAGTGAAAAAAGAAACTGTGATGGTAGGTACAATTGAAGCAATACAACAGCTACAAACATTGGTAGAAGTAAAAATCAAGGACTTCACTCAAATAATATTTACAATTTTGGAAACTAAGAAAGAAGATTCTAATTTTCATTCGCATACGCATATGTTGAAAAAAATTACACTAATATGAGAGTCACTTCAATTGATATTAGCGTCGTGTTTGGTGTAGATGTCGTTCATAAAATAGTCGGAAATCATTCGGTAAAACATGAATTTTAGAGAGAATTTATCAAGTATATACATTATTTTGGATTTATTGAGGATAAATCCGTTGTTGTCACAAAAAGAAATTACGGAAAGACGATGTACGAGGTGTGTTCAAAAAGTACCCGGAATTACTAATAATTAAATTTCGCGGGTCTGGAGTGTCTGATTGTCAAAATTTTTTTTTATTGTGTTGGTATACATGCCCCTAAAGTATGATGAAATTTTCAGCTATATTCACTGTTTACTTTGTCTGTGGTAGTCGCTAAGGTTCGACGTGTTTTTCTGAGCTCGGCGATTTTTACAATGGAAGAATTGAAAAGTCAAAGAATTTGTATTAAATTTTGCGTAAAAAATGAAATAAAGTGTTGCAAAGTGCAAAAATTCACCAGATATGGCTCCGTGTGACTTTTTCCTATTCCCAAAGTTGAAGAGACCCATGAAAGGACGGCGGTTTTCCTCGATTGAAGAAAATCGCTGAGAGTGCTCAAGGACATATCAAAAAGTGAATATCAAGGGTGCTTCGAAAATTGGAAAAAACGCTGGCATAAGTGTATTATATCTGGGGGGGACTACTTTGAAGGGGACCACATTAATGTAGACGAATAAATAAATATTTTTTTGAAAAAACGAAAATTCCGGGTACTTTTTGAACAGACCTCGTATAAAGCAGGAACTTTCTAATTTCTATTCCAATTAACTTGCCGTATAGTTCCAACAAGAATTCAGAAAAAAATCAACTAAGTACAAGTACAAAACAGATTTCCTAAAAGAAAATATTTCAGATAATGTTTTAGAAAGATGATAGGGCGAACAAAATCAGGCAAAAACGTAAAAAATGCGTGAAAATGCAGAAAATACACTCTAAGAAAAAAAATCGAAAAAAATTTGGATAAAACAGAAGAATGTTGATTTTGCATTCTAAAATAAAAGAAATATTTTTTATTTGTACACCTAAGTCTGTTTTTACACGGTAGATTGGTTCCAGGAGAAGCCGCGTAAAAAAAATTGTGTTAAAAGACATTGATCTTATACAAAAATGGGTGATTTGTTCCTATTCTCTAAAACCTATTAAAATTAGTGAAAAACAAGAATTTTTAGGGTATTCCCCTAAATTAGTGCTATTCACATTTGCTTTGACCAGTAAAAATTGTTTGTACGCGCTAAAGGGGAATTCACTTAAATCTTTAAGCTAGTGTTCGCAAACTATCGATACTATCGATGGTTTCAGACTTTTTCTTTCATAAAGACTTTTTTGTGATATGAACATACTTCGCAAAAATTAAATTTGACAAAAAAATTTAAGTACATAAAATTTCAAATCGTGCTAAATGGAATAAAATCGTATAAAAAAATTAAAAATATTCAATTTCCAAACCGTGTTATATCAAAACCGTGTACAAAAAGACCGTGTAAAAACAGACTTAGGTATATTTATAAACTCTTAAGCTAGCATTATTAACCTTTCATTCAATACTGAAAGATATACATTTTGCATGACCGGTCGCGGTAGGAATAGCAAACATGATATGTCGGTGGGAATAGTGTTAATGTTGCCAGTTGCACCAATTGGCCACCCAGAATGTGATTTTCGATGTATAACCTAATGACTTGCCCACTCCTCTTCCCAAAACCTTCACATCCTGAATCAATCTTCTGCTACCTTATTCTTTCCATCACCTGCACCTCACCTTCTTTCCCCATTATCCATATCTAAGTCGATACATCTTTCATTCCAAGTGTTTAAGTTCTTTCAAAATACTAATTTTGTTTCTGCGATGTCCAGATTTTGCAGGTGATATGTACTCGAGGCAGCAACCAGGACCCGGTGGTCCATCAGGTTCGGTTCCGCCCGGCTCTTTACCCCAAAATAACCCTGCTTCGTCCGTGTCTAAGCCCACTAGCGATTATTCCAGCTACGGATACGGTGAGATAATAGATCTTAATTTGTTCGTAGGATTAGAATTACGAACCCCTTTAGATTGATTCAGTTGCATGTGTGAAGGAAATTTTAAATGTACCCATAGTCCAGTCATTTGGTCGTTTTGCCGGTACAGTACTCCGGGAATTCTGAAAATTGGTAATCCTATAGATTTCGAGGTGCTCTTTACGAAAATCAACTTTACCACCGCAAATTTAAACGGCAAGTTGCCACCATATTGAAAAATGGCGTCAAAAAACAGCTTCTTTAAGATATCTCCTTTCTGGCTTATTCTACGATAAAAGTATCTATGTACGAATTAAACTAGATAAAATTTTCTACAATTCTTTAGAAACCCGTTTTTTTTTGTAAAATTGATAGTTTGAGAGAGTACGGCCGCCTCAAAGTCTTTGCTGCTCCGGCCGTAGTATCAAATCTGTCCATATATGACAGCACTTCGAACTTGACCACATTCTCTCTAATAATAAATATTTTCAATGTTAAATTAAGCGAATAAGATCTAGAAATGAAATAATTCAAATATTTTTCGTTTTTTTTTGCTGATTTTTTAACACTTCAATGGCAAAGTAGCTATAAGTATCTTGAAGTGTTATAAAATCAGCAAAAAAACAGAAAAATATTTGAATTATTTCATTTCTAGATCTTATTTGCCTAATTTAACATTGAAAATATTTATTTATTAGAGAGACAGTGGTCAAGTTCAAAGTGCTGTCATATATGGAGAGATTTGATACTACGGCGAGAGCAGCAAAGACTTTGAGGCGGCCGTACTCTCAAACTATCAATTTTACAAAAAAACGGTTTTATAAAAAATTGTAGGAAATTTTATCTAGTTTAATTCATGCATGGATACTTTTATCGTAGAATGAGCCAGAAAGAAGATATTTTAAAAAAGCTGTTTTTGACGCCATTTTTCTAATATGGCGGCAACTTGCCGTTCAAATTTGAGGTGGCAAAGTTGATTTTTGTAAAGAGCACCTCGAAATCTATAGGATTACCAATTTTCAGAATTCCCAGAGTACTATGATACTTAACTATGATAATTAACATATATATATATATATATATATATATATATATATATATATATATATATATATATATATATATATACGTACACATACATACACATCTACTTACATACAGATATACATACATATATACTCATATAATACGCATACATATACATACACATATATGCACATTCACATATAAGTACATAAATACATACACATACATACACGTAGACTTTATAAAAAACTATGATAATTAACATAAAACTAGCTGTAAGTGGAATTCTGTCTTAAGGCAATTAAGGCATCGTGCCTTAAGGCAAATTGCTGGAACTTCCCGTACCAAAAATTATTATTTTTTTAAAAACGATTAACATTTTTGAAAAAAATTTACTTCGAAAAAATTAGATTTTTGAGAATATATAAATTTGACAAAAAATTACTTTTAAAAATTTTTTTTTTTGAAAAGAAAAATGTTTTCTTCATTTTGACATATTTTGGAAATTCTGAAGGTTTTTTCAAAGCAATCGTACTGCTTTCACTGCATAAAGACGAAATATCAAAGCGCGTAAGCGCCGCATCGCCGTCTAACGCGTAAACATTGCTACGGAACCCATGGAAATGTAAACAAAATTTATACTTATTGTTAAAATCTCTATCAAATATCTGATAAATTGATGTGCATATGTCTAATGATCATTTTTGACCGCCAAATGGCTCATTTTTTTATTTTTTCCCCTATATCTCCGAAACCGCTAGACCTGCTTCCATGAAAATTATTCATATTGTCAATACAAGTGAAATGTTTTTTTGAATTATTCAAATCGGACGCTCCGTTCTCCTAAAAACTGAGTTACCGTTTTCGGCACTTTTTGCTCCGTATCTTCGGAACGGCTAGACCTGCCTTCGCCAAAAACTAATCAGCACGTCTCCTTATCAATACGAATCGAATGTTTTTTGAATTATTCAAATCGGTTGATCCGTGTTCCCGAAATCGTCGACGAAAATTTGTATCCGCACATACATACACACACGCACACACACACACATACATCCATTTTTTCTAAGGTATGCCAAAATAATCAGAAACCTTTGAAACGTCGAGAAATGCAAAAATTTTCATTTTCGATTTTTTTGCGATTACTATAACTTGCCCTACGGGAAGTTAATAATACTTTGTTTAAATAATATGACTTCGGTGATAAAATTAATTGCACAAAATATTATGGCGTTTAAGTTTTTTCTTTATGTTAGCCTCAAAACTTTGTTGACGCATATAGAAAAAGTTCAAACTGCCGCAATACTCATTGACTTCTTTGGCTAGTCTATTTTATATTTATAATCTGACTTTTATCCTCTTGCAGGCTCTTACGGGAACGACCAGGCCTCGTCCTACGGGCAGCCGCCGCGCTCCGCCTACGGAACAGCGGCCGTCGACGGGACCGCCGTAGGAAGCACAGGTCAGCCCCATCAAAATTCTGCTGGTTGTTATCTAATTCAACCGCAAACTCAAACAACTGCCAAACATTTCACGAACTTTGTTCAGGAATGGCCGTCGTCTTGTCTGTAACATTGCAAAATGTAATGGATTGACGATCGTTAATGGTTGTCTGTCTGTCTGTCGAACTGTGGGTATTTCAGCGACGGGTAAAAATCAGATGGCTAGATAATAATAGATTTCATGAAATTGACAAGTATTAAATGATAATAAATTATTTATTAAATATAATTAGGAGTTGTATATATTAGGTTGTCAAATATCTCCCTTCCGCCTTTTTGTATTCTAAACCAAGAGCAAAAAAGCGGAAGGGAGATATTTGACAACCTTATATTTATATTGTACGATGTTGATTAAATAAAATATAGTTAGTGATAAATTAAAGCTAAACAGTTAATTTGAAATATTTCATTCGTTTTGTCTTTGCCAAAAAATTCAAACAAACTATTTTCAACTCACTTTTTATTTTGTCTTATTTGAGCCATCATGATTGAGATTTCAAGTGTCTTGATTAAAACAAGGCTGTAAATGAATAATTTAGCTGGTACCTACAGTTTGAAGATGCTTCTATTCATATACTTTTATACAGGCATTTTTCACTTACAGAGCATAAAAGAGCGTTGTGATCTATATATTAGGTTGTCAAATATCTCCCTTCCGCCTTTTTGTATTATAAACCAATAACAAAAAAGCGGAAGGGAGATATTTGACAACCTATAACAATTTTAATAAGTTAAATAGTTCTGTATACACCAGATACCTCACTCAAATAGGTTTCAGTGCTAATTTCAGCAAAAATACTAGTTTTTGAGAAACTAAATCAAAAGATTAGCAGGATATAAAATAATCCATTAAATTATATCATATGCATATAACAAAAAGTGTGTTACATTAATTTATAAAGAAGAAAATTACAATTAAGGGGGCTTTAATATGACCATTAGTCACGTGATCGATTTTTTTTAAGGATTTTTATGACCCCCCTTTGTGATACGTCGTGAAATTTAGAACGATTTTCCCTCCCCCCACCAAATATCACATGTATTTTTTGTTAGGGGGCGTCCATTAATTACGTGATCGATTTTTGAAGGATTTTTTGATCTCCCCTGCATCTTGGAAACACGAGGTGATATTCAAAAATACATCACCCTACCCCACTAAAAATCACCTTTTTAGTTAAGAGTGAAATTGTAAAATTTTTGACATTTTTTTTAATTTTCATGATTTTTTGTCAACCGCCCCTTAAAGCTTGAAGTGTTTAATGTTCGCCCCTAAAGGGATTTTCTACCTTGTGGCTTCATTTTTGATATTGTTTTTTGAGAAAAATCGATTTTTTTAAAGAGCTAGGTAAAAGACTTTCTAAAGACCTTGTTATGAATTTTTCATGCTGTTTTCTTAAAACAGCTTTGTTTTATGAAAAAAACTTCTATTAACAAACACTTGTTCTTAGGTAAAATATATTACCTTGATTCTTTGGAAATTTATTAGGTATTAAATATTTGTTCTTCAGCTATTTCTATTACAGTCAATGTCATTTTACAGAGAATTTTTGTTTACCGCTTTCCTGCATTTTCTTAAAATTGTATTTTCTGTTTGCAAAACGAGTTACTGGTGTATACATATAATTATCACAAGCTCTAAAAATTTGCTCTCGTCATTAATGTTCAGTCATATTTGAGTTTATTGGTTGCAATAGGTCAATTACGCAGTTTATATATATATTTATTTATTATTCCTTATTTATATGTCTATATATATGTAATATGTTATGTAATTCCCGATTATTTATTTTTATTGATGTGGGCTAGATGAGATTTTGTTAAAATCATTCATTTCATTTTGTTCGGAACAAATATTCTCTGCGCTTGGAGGAACATCTATGTTTTTATTACACGTCGGTCGAACATGTTATTAGATTTTTTTTTTGCGCACTTTGTTTATTTTAATGAAGTGTTAGTGAAATATTTATTTCTGGAGATTTATGGAAAGATTTAGTATGGTGGTTGATTTTTTTTAGTATTTTTATATCATATATATGTCAGTGTTTTCCAACATTTTTATGTGACGGTAAGGAAATAACGAACTTTGAAGGAATGCGTTCTATGAATATATTAGGGTGGCTGTTATCAACATTTGATTTTAATATATTCAATATATTACACGTTACGAAAGGAAAATTTGTTGAAGGGAAAGATTATAATAAAGCTACAGCAATTCAAAGGTTTGTCAAAATGGTTTCGAGTTCATAATCTTGGACTTACATATTTTATGAAAAACCAGTTTGGTTTTATAGCCTTTTTGCATTTTTTTATTCTTATATGAAAGTGAAATCACTTTCTAAATTTAATTTTGAAATAATTTTTAAATACATTCATACTTAATCCTTACTAAAAGTAAGGATTGTCCAGAATTGTTGAAAAGATTCTCAATTTTTATATTAAATTTTAATAAAAATATATTAAAATAATTTTTACAAAATTTACACATAATAAAAGCGTTATTGCTTACTTTTTTTTGAATTTATAATATAAATTTTATACGTCTCGGACAGACAGAAGTGTCTGGTAAAGTTAATTATGGTAAAAAAGGTTTGATTCTGTGTAAACAAATTTATAAATTTGATTTATACAATAACTGAATTCTATTGCATTCTTAAAAGTATACAAATTCCTTTAAAATATAATTCAACATTCTGTTTCGGATTTTATCTCTTATGGTCACCTTAATATTTATTCAATTATATTTATATACTTATCTATTTTTTACTTAGCAAACTGATACATAAATTATTAAATTTATGTATCAAAAATTAGTAAGTTTTTACTAAACAATATTTCTGTATTTCAAATGTAAAGTTTTTTTTTATCTGAAATTCTTTGAATTTGAATTAATTACATATTTTCTAGTTCAGGATAAAAACGTTTGGTCACTTTTTTTAGTAAATTCATTTCTCGAATGTGTCCTTCTCTATTTTATGATATTGGTTTTATCATATGCATGTTTAAATGTGCATGTGAATATTACATAAATGTATAGAATTTTTCTGTTCATAAAAAATGAGTTGTTGGTTCTCAAGTAATTTGCCGATCTAATTTTCTGACTTGGCTTATATTTCTTGAAAGTGTACACGTTTTATTTTACATCGCCATTGATAATTTTTATATAAATCTGATAAGTCTTTTCTTTTTTGAAGGAGATTCTCTGCGTTGGTAAACACTGATATACGTTTTTGCACACTGATTTTTTTTACATAATTTGTACCCGTCTTCATATTTATCAATTTTTTTAGTCTTTTATCATTTGGTTTGCTTTTCGTCGATTTTTGTTGTACTTCTCATATATTAAGCCAGATTCCTTTAAACTCTTTAAAGGGGTTGTGCGTTTTACCCAGAATAATGGATTACTTCAATTTCAAGATGGTAATTGGCCATTGATTAATATTAAGAAATTGGTCATCGTAGATGTTGTTTTACCTTTTTCTATTATTTTTTCCTATCGAAGATCAAAATAGTCTTAAATTAGTCCTAAATTACTAGAAGGAATGTTTGCACCAGCTGTGTAGTTATAAATGATCTTACAATTAGAATTTTAGTTAGTAAAACTAAAACACATATATTTTTGTTTTCCAGATGATTTCTTAAAACAATACTAACACAGAATTAATAAAAAAATAGTATCGGGCCAGATACGTTATTGTACCACCAGTTTATTGGAAAATTGTTTTGACCTTAAAAAAAATCTGCGAGAATCTGCAATTATTTGATGGCTCGATCCGCGCACCAAGCATATAGTAGCATATGATATAATTTTTCATACTTAGATACACACAAAAGCTGTTGTATATAAAAGTATATATGTATATATATATTTATATAAACTGAAGCATTTATACACCATTATAAAGTAGTAAATGTATGTATATGAATATGTATATACATGCAATATATATTATATATTAATTAATTAATTAATTATATATCAAGTGGTCACGCTCGATGGTGCAACGTGTTTCCACAGACATGCAAAGTGTTTTTACAGCATCGACTGATTTGTTTAAGAAGTTAATTAAGCAACGAAAAGTGTACACAATTTATTAAACATAGCGTAGATTTAAAGAGAAAACAAATTTATTAATATTGATAGTCATTCTGTTGTTAAATTTAGATAAAGACAAATAGTATGTGGACGACGATTTCAATAATAATTCAAATTAGTTTAAAGTAAAATTAAAGTAAAAATAATGCTCTACCAAGCGCCTCCGACAAGATAGAGTTAAAATATGTTAACTATTTTTAAGACACAATTTTTGAGAGCGAGAGAGAGAACGAACGATATGAGAGAGAGAGGGAGGGGAGAGCGAGCTCAAAATGCAATTAGCATGTTTATAACATACATATATAGTAATAATTAAAAATTAATATTACCTGCATAGTGAATAACATATTTTAATGTCGTTGCTAAAATTAAAAAAATGAAAAGATTATCCTACTACTACCTTACTTACACCTAGTGAAATTTGTATAAATTAAATTGAATTAAGTAGAGAATATCCAATGTGACGATTGTTTGTTCGGCCGGCGCTCGACCCGCGCACCCGCAACCTCTCTTCCCCCGGGCGGAGCGCGCGCCGGCCGACGGCCGCCGTACAATAATAATGTTAATTAATTTTGTTGTGATCTTAAATATTAATATGAATAAGTCTGTAAATTTGACACGAAGGTACCTAACTACTTTTAATTACATTTAAAGAGTAAACCTTAACCTTTAACATTTAACATTTAACATTACCTACTGTATTTATATAGAGAAATTGATTATTGATACCTATTTAGATATGATGATGAATTTTAGATTTAAATGCAACAATTTTATCATATTTAAGACCGTGTGCGATTAATGTTTATCCGCCTTCTTAAGCCTTAAATTTAATTATAATTAAGTTTAATTTGTAAATTAAAATAA